CAGAAAAATGCAATTGCTTTAACAGACTTTGAGAAAACTTATATTTCCCAGTCTCATTTATGTCCTTTTGCTTGTGAGAAGTCATCTTTGCATCTAGGGTGCTTGTGAAAATTCAAAAAGCCACATGCAGCAAGTGAAATGTATGTCACTGCTCACAGGGCAAAACACCTAGGCTCCGAGTGTGAAAGGATCCAAGCGTTTTGTGAACTGAAGTTGTACTAAATTCCTTTCCAAAGGATAGTTAGTTATACTGTTGCACTTTTTGTGCAGAAGCAGGTTCTAATTCCCCTTGTATTCTATGCTATGGGTCAGAGAGTGAACTCATTCAAGGACCTACCTTCCTTTGCACGACAGTCATCCACTTGCTTCAAAGTGTTTGCATCTATGGCTAGTTTCTAATGTGCATCACTAGACTAAGGCCTTCTTCCCACTTCAGCAAAACATCAAGTAAACTGTTTTCATTGCATTCAAATTTTGTTTGTTAACTAGTAGGCTTGCTGGAAAACAGCTTAGTTATTCACCAGAATAGTGAACAAGCTTAGTTAGTCACTAGAAATGTTATTCTGATTTTAACCTCTTTTCTTAAGAAAATCAAGTATATTTGATGATTTTGTTCTTCATGTGTCCCCATAATGAGCAAAGCTTACAAAGCACCAGAAGTCCCACAGATTTCATGAATATCAGCTGGTTAGTGGAGAGTAATCCACATAAACACCTCCTGTAAAGGCAGCAGTAACTGATGGGCATCTGTTTTCTGCTTCTGGAAATGGAAATCTGCACATATATCACACGAAATTAGTCCCAGCCAGTTACCCAGTCAAACAAGGATAGAGGCAAAAGGAATGTTTAATGGGAACACAGGAAGCCTCAAGGAGTGCAGTATCAGGGTAAGGAAAGTAAGAGAGAAAGCTTGAAGTTTCACTAGCCAGTTACTTACAGAACTAGCCTCCTTCGATAATAGGATATGAAAAAGTTGAAACAGCTGCTCTGCCATTTCCAAGATACCTTTTGGGCATGTTTCCTAATTTACACTAAAGACCAAAAACTGAGAGCCGTACCAAGTTTACTTTCATATACCCTTTCTTTTTAAGAAACATTTGATCTAATGATCACATTACCATATAGGAAGTTGGATCACAATCCCACCAAACAAATTATTAGTTTGTCAAATCTGATGACAGCTGGAATTGCCGTGAGGTCACATGACAGCTAAATCTGTGGTGGATGTGGCAGAGACTAGGACTACATCTCTCCACAGCATCTAATTGTTAAATTAAATTCAACAAAACATGAAACCAATTCTTAAGTTTCTTTCATAGTCTCACATTCCTCCATTCATACAAACATATAAGCTGGCAGAATTAACTTAAGCAGTGTCCTCCTCTCTCAAATATCTGGCATGATTTGTCTGCTTAGAAACTCCTGAGGTAATAACTTTACATCTCAAGTGAAGCAGTCGTGTGCTTCAGCAGCCTGAAAGCAACCTGTTTCATGCAATAGCCTTTTGAGACTGACCTTTCAGGCTCAAATATCATTTAACTTTATCTGAAACCTACTGAAGTCTGTTGAAACTGCAGTTTACTTTGATGGGAGCTGGATCATGGTCTAAACAAGCAAAACAGGAATGAGCAAAAAAATGCATTCGCAAAGGATATCAGAGTTGCAGGCTGTACAAGTCAATAGATAAAATTATACCTTGAAAAATCTAAATATAACATTTGCTACATTTTAACCTATCATTGCACTTTAATACAATGCCCTTGGAATTACATTTGTTTGCTTTGAACTGTTGGCAAGAACTCTTTCCTGGTGTAGGACACTCAAGACCAAACTTTAGCTCACTTATAAAGAGTAGAGTCAAAACCAAAGCCTAGCTTTATTTAAAGAAAGTAAAGTTATGATTTTTTTCAATGCAAATTAGCAAGATAGAGTGCTATGGCAGCCAAGCCACTGTTGCCAAAGAAATTTGCCATTGCTAATTACATGTTCCTCAAGGCAAAAATATTGCAGACCTGAGCAATACTGTTTCTTTCCTCAAATTATTTTAATGAGTAACATTTACACTTTTTTACTCTAATTATACATCACTCTGGTCCACAACATCAGCATAAGCAAACACTGCAAAGCAGAATCTGAATCTCAATTCAATTTAGCATTCTGTCCTGCCACTATTAACACTGAAAACATCTAAGTTTCTTTAAAGCCTACATATGGTGTTCCTCCACATACTTGGATTATATGAAATGAAAGCAACATCTCACCTTCCTCCGTAGGACTGTTAATAGTTTCACTTTCACGTACACATTTAATAAATAAACTTATGCATATGACTTTATGAAATTACTGCACGAACATGCAGTTTTCAGTCGAAGAGAAGCATTTTAACATGCCTGTAGCCCAGGAAACTCAGTGCCGTCAAGTTAGTTTTCAGGCTGCAGCACAAGGTGTTATCACTGTTGTAAGTGGTGCAAAAGCAAAAATTTGGCAGGTCAGAATGAAGACTGTTTGGGGACCCAGGAACCACTGTCAGCATACAGGAACAGTGGAACAGAGCAGGAAGATGCAGGTGCGGGCTACTGTAGCCCTCTTTCTGAGGGCTCTCTTACCGTAGCCCTACTGACCTCTTTCAGTTCAGCCAATTCCTCACACAAATAAAAGAATTGTGTACATTTAAGATAACTTGTTTCCACGTGTGCCAAAACAGCATCCTGAAGTTTTTTCCCTAAGCTGACCTTCCATTTTCTTTGTTTGGTCTTCCCATGGACATAAAATCATGTTTCATTGTGTTAACAAAGAAAGAGAAACAAATGAAAGTTCAGACTCACGAATACGATCACACATCCTTCCATTTACCGGACCACCTGGGAATGCATTTATCTCCTCTAGGGCACCTGCAATACATTATTTAAACGAACAATGCTTCAGTATAAGAAGCCAGTAGAATAAAATATGAACTGATCGTAACAAAGCCTCTTCAGACTTGTGATCCTCTGCTTTTGCAAAATCATTATTACAGATTAATGTGATGACTACTTAGTAGCCAATACATAATAAGCAATAACTACTTGTTAACCACCATGTACTTGGGGCCCATTCCTTGTCTTACTACACTGTATAAGCCCAGTCAATGGAAGTGCTAAGACAAACAGGCCCTGAAAACTTAAAAAAACGCAGAGCCAGCAACCTTTAATCTTTGTCCTTCATAACTTATACGGCCCATCATTTTCAAAAGGCTTTGTGATTTTGATCCTCAACAGCTGACAGCCCCAGCTTTGAGGTGCGTAGAATTGTATAAAAAAGAAAAAAGCCAGAAAAGAGGAACGCTCCCAGTGAGGGCACCAGAGTGACTTTCCCCAGCGCCTCAGCCTCAGCCTCAGCCTCAGCCTCAGCCTCAGCCTCAGCCTCAGCCTCAGCCTCAGCCTCAGCCTCAGCCTCAGCCTCAGCCTCATCCAGTACTCAGTATTTCTTTATTGTGTCCTAATTTTCTAATAAGCAACAGATCACTACTGAATAGTCCCAATTGCCACTCAAAAGTCTTAATGAGCTGATGTCCATGACTTCGGCAGCTCTATTAGTGGCATCATTGAAGCCTTAGCTGTTTGATGTGGTGTCAGTTTTCCTTAATTCAGAGAGATACAGGAGCAGTGATAAACCTTTTTTCTTCTAAAACTTTCCTTGAAATAACTGTGTTTTGCTTAACCTTGCATCGCTAGCTCCTGTTTGACATCGGTGCTCCTCTTTTGATGTTCCTAACTCTTATTATTTATTTTCTGGTTACTAATGTGCAGAGATGTATCTTATCATTCCCTGTGCTGATGGTAAGATCTTTGGTTATATTACCATTTTCTGGAAGGCGATTCCAAGATTATGGATCCTTAGCCAAGGAGAAGTGATTGCCTATTGCGACTGCACCCATCTGGTTTAGATTTTTTGTCCTTTGGGCAAGAGACTGTTTGCTGATATGTTCATCTCTTTATTACTCACAAAAACCACTAATTATAATGCTGTATCATCCTGAAATCTTTATCCCAGTGAAAAGAACAAACCATTGTGTCCTGCTCTTCCTGAGTGGAAAGAGGCAACTTTGCCTGTCAAGAAAAGGTGTATTTGGGGGGGGGATGTGTATGTGTGTGTGAGGGGGTGTCAGGATGTGTGCCTGTGGTGGGGGAGAGAGGTGTGTGTTTGGGGTGCCGGGGTGTGTGTGTGTACAACATCCTGTAACGGGTATCTGCTGTTCCCGTGGAAAGCAGCAGTTCCTCCTCCGGGAGCCCCCACTGGGCACTCTGACTTCTCAGGCGTAAGTGGGCTGTGTTGTGGGGCAGTTTGTTTTTTAATGACAATGCTAATTCACCTGATTAGGAAGTGCTGCTTGCGTTTGGTGCTCAAGTGGTAGCTATCCCATGCAAGGAATATTAAGATTTATGTAATCAGCTCTTACATAAGGTCTTTAGCACCCTGCTTTTATTAGCACTGCAACTTTGTTTTACCTTGGATTGTGCTGGAGTAGCTAATGAGCGTGGATGGGCTTCCTTCCTGGGCAGCACGCTGCGTCTGCACACTGCGTCAGGGTAGGCACCTGAGGATGTGAAAATTGTAGGTATGGGCAATATGTAGCAGTCATTCAGAAACATGCTCTAGGGCTGACCAGTGCTACCTGAACTTTGGCAAATACATGCTTAAGTTGCATTAGGTAGCTCTGCTGTTAGAAAAAGCTTGTCGTGTCTGTCAGCAGGGTGTGAGCAGTGCAAGGCTTTTCAAAGCATTATTTCTATCAACTTTTTGAGTGAAACAGTGACTTACACATTCTTGAGTCTCACCTGGATAAGAAGGGAGGGAAGAGAAAGAAAATAAAAATAAGATGAGGAATGATCTGGGAAGTGCTGACAAATAAGAATGCTTGTTTTGCATTCAGAGCTTTTTGGGTTTAGCTGATGTTGGTTCTAGCAGTATCGGCTAGCTTTCTCTTAGCTTATTTTGGGCACGATCTCTGTGCAGTGTTGCTGGTGTCGATAGATTCCAGCATCCCAGGAGGCTGTGGGGGAGCATCAAGCAATGAACTGATGTTGGCTTTGCCACCTGCTCTCCTGACATCAGCAGTAAAATCACACCGTGTCTTGGTCTGTCCTCACAGAGTGATAATGGGGTGCTCCTCAGTGGAATAGGTTATCCCATCCTTTCTCTTGGTAAGCGTGGGTGGTGGTGGTATGCTTCAGATATCAGTTGTATGTGCTTTGTGTCACGTTGCTTTTGTTTTCCAAATGGGATTTCAGTGAAGTTCTTGGGTTGTATTAGGATGCCTTTTGTTTAGACTTGTTTGGTTTTGTTTTTAGCTCCTGCTGACTTTTTAGAACAATTTTTATGCAACTGGCTGAGCTGACTTTTTGTTATTTCTGATCAAGTGCTCTGCTAAAAAGCCAGTATTGCGGTAATATGTAGCCTCTTTGGCATGAGGTTTAAAGGAGACAGTGCTATAGGCAATCTGAAAGTGGTGACCTCATAAAAAGCTGTATAGTTCTGATGGGTTGCTAGTAAGACCTATCAGGTGTGCATATGCTTGCAGTGCTGTTTTTTAAATCCTTGGGGCAAAATTCTATTCTGGAGTAAGCATCTAGTTGTACTTTTATTCAGCAGTTTTTACCTCCCCCAGCCTGAATGCCTTAATTAAAATAGGAAACAATATGATGGCATGTCTGCTCACGGCAACTGGAGAACTTCAGAGGTCAGCTGCTCTAGGTCTCAGCACTGTTGCTTACCCGGCAGCAAAGCTCTTCATAGCTCCTTTTTGTTCTAATTGTACTTCAAATAAAACTGTAAAAGCTGTAAAGCTGTAAAAGTAACTGTAAAAGTAGCTTCCTAACTGTAAAGCTGTAAAAGTCGTCGATGCGACTGCTGTAACTTTCACTTCATCAAGGCACGATGCTGTGATAAATACATTAACCAGCAGTAGAATCTCACTTCAGTTATGTAAAAATCCTACCTGACTGAAGGCTGGTTAAGATCTTGAAGGTACAAAAGGCTCAAGCTTATAAGCTGGAACAGAATTAGAAAGGAAGGCTGGCTTGCTGTAGATGTGAGGATCATTGCCATTTATACAAATCGTTAACTTGTCTGCCACATCTTTCAGGTTTTTTTTTAATAGAGTTTTGAGTACTGAGTAGAGTTTTGAGTAGTTATAAACATTTCTGTGAGCTGTAGACTTGCATTTGCATTGCTATATGGAAAATTTCTTGTGAAATATCTAAGTTTTACAACTTTTCTGTTTCTATCTTTCAGGCTATTAGGGCATTCTGCATTACTGAAAGAAGTCGCTCCTGTTTGTGGATTGACCTATGATGTCAAGAACTGCATCATCCTGGATTTTAAGCTCAGCAAGAAACAGCATTGCTTTACAAGGAAAAGGACGTTTGTATTCCAGGTGTATCCCAAATAGAAACAAGATAAAATGGAAGCTTGTTTTCTGCAGAACACGCCTCTTCCCTACTGGAAGCTGGAGCTTAGACAGTACTTTCCCCTTAAGAAAAGCTTTCAGACATACTTCCACTGAAGAAGAACAATTCTCTTTTCAGTTGTCTCCAACACAAATCAATGATGTACTCAGAGCAGGTGAATTATCCCATAAAATACTGGATTTGGATGGTAAAAATGCCAATTCTGTATTGAGATTTGAAAGTAACCAGTTGGCATCCAACACCCCTATTGAAGACCGCAGAAGTGCAGCCACTTGCTTGCAGACCAAAGGGATGATGTTTGGGGTCTTTGATGGCCATGCAGGTTCTGCATGTGCTCAGGCAGTAAGTGAAAGACTACTTCATTATATAGCAGTATCTCTCATGTCTCGGCAAACCTTGGAAGAGATCGAGCTTGCTGTGGAGTGCATGAAACCAGTTTTGCCTATTCTGCAGTGGCACAAGCATCCAAATGATGTAGAGTATCGAGAAATAACTTCCCAATATTTTGAGAACCTCCGGGTTTACTGGCAGCATTTACTGGACCTAGACACTGAGCCAGGATTTAGTTTAGAAGAAGCCATGATATGTGCATTCAAAAGGCTAGACTCAGACATATCACTGGAAGTTCAGGCTCCCCAGGAAAGCGAACTGATGAGAAATATTGCTCTTCAAGTAGCTTTCTCTGGCGCAACAGCCTGTGTGGCTCACATTGATGGTGTTCACTTACATGTTGCAAATGCTGGTGATTGCAGAGCAGTTTTAGGGGTACGTGAAGAAGATGGAACATGGTCTACTCTCCCTTTAACTCGAGACCACAATGCCTTTGATGAATCTGAAATTAGAAGACTAAAGAGAGAACATCCAAAATCTGAGGAGAAAACTCTATTTGTGAATGACAGATTACTGGGGATTCTCATGCCTTCTAGAGCTTTTGGAGATGTCCAATTAAAGTGGAGTAAAGAATTACAACACAGTGTTCTGGAGAATAGCTGTGATGCTGAGGCTTTAAATATTTATCAGTATGTTCCTCCAAACTACCATACACCCCCTTATTTAACTGCAGAGCCTGAAGTCACGTACCACAAATTAAGGGGCAAGGATAAGTTTCTAGTTATTGCTTCAGATGGACTATGGGAGATGCTAAGTAATGAGAAGGTTGTACAACTTGTTGCTGGACACCTTACAGAGCTTAACATGGGGAAACCACAGCTGGCTTTTGAGAAACCAATTAATTTGGGTTATATGCACAACTTGCTGCTTCGGAGGAAAAACAGAGGCATTGGCTCACTTGACCAGAACATAGCTACTCACTTAATAAGGCATGCAATTGGAAATAATGAGTATGGGGAGGTGGACCAAGAGAAACTTGCTGCAATGCTGACACTGCCTGAAGACCTTGCAAGAATGTACAGAGATGATATCACAGTAACTGTAGTGTATTTTAATTCAGAAACAGTTGAAAATTATTACAAAAACAATGAATAGAGACTTGCTGTTCTATATCAATTTAGTCAATTTTGGTACTGGAAACCATTGCTATTTGTTTTCCCTGATACTCGAGCTGGTACAAGTGTCATCCTTTGGAAGTTCCTGAAACTTCTGATTACTGACTAGTCTTGAAAATAAATTTCTAGAAGTCAGTCTAATGAAAGTTGCTTGGGTTTCCAGGTCTGTGCACACTGAGGAAAAATGTTTTGATAAAAGTTAACTGAAATATAACTGAACTAAAGATTGCCAGTCTAGTTCTGATTCCACAGGAGCAACTGGTAAAACTTTTCAAATGAACAAACAGGCAACAAATTTCACTGAGACTGGTGCAGTTTGATAGGGAGATGAATAGTAGCTGTAGCTGCCTGGATTACAAGAAATGCTCCACTCTTGTGCATAACGAGTAGCCTCCTATTGAAGCACTGTAATTGAAATAAATGAATAAACTCCCAAACCACTATTTGATGTAAGTGTGTCAGATACTTTAAAGAATTGCTTTGTATGTGTGAAGCTTAACTAAACAAGGCTGTTCAGACTGCCTTGGGACTGTCAGACGTTTTTTCCTAATGTCATGTCTTACAGCTACGGTAGAAACAAAAGCATATTTTCTTCAGGAATTATTTTAAAGTATGCATATTCTCTTAACTGTGTGTGTGGACTTGTATGACAATTTATAGCTCAAAGGCACTTGAGGGAATTCATGGTTCCTTTTTTAGGAATGTATTCCTAATTTAATAAGTACCTAACGCCATCAACCAACAGTACTGGGCATTCAGTGTCTAACTTGCTTAAAGAACATACTCTTTATATTAAGTATTGATCTGCGAACTGTTGCACAACAAAACCATCAACTGTAATTTTTAAAGTGTTCTACAGATCCAAAAGTTGAAAAGTACATCTACATGTAAGTGCGGCAATACATAGAGCACCTTTGTCTCTGAATTTCACTTTCAAGAGAGAATTAGCAATGCTGATATTTCACCAAAAAATATGTTTTATCTTTTTCCCTTTCCTTCTTGCTTTTGGACATGAGCTTGTCTTTATAGGTGCAGATAGTCATTTTCTGTAGTGAATATATGTTCTAATCTCAGAAAATATACTTTTGTGTATTTTATAACAGCTTTCTTTTATGCTGTGCTTTCTAGAGTGCCTATCTAAAGCTTGAAGATTATCTGTATTTTCTTAAATTTCACAGATGATGTTCTCTAGTGACTCTGTTCCTTGTTATGCACAGCAGTAATTGTTGCCTGCAAGAATGTGTGTACTGGGAATAGAGGCCTGTTTACAGCTGTTGCTATGAAGTAAGAACCTGTGTGGGTGAAGCAGAGCTGGTATAAATAAGATCACTTTTTTTCTGAATTCCACTTAAAAATAAAAGCAGTATTCTTCTGCCATTTAATTTTCCTTACAGAAATTTTTAAGTAGATGAGACTTTGGGCCTAAACTGGTAGCACTTGTGGGTTTGAGGGCTTTTTATATATATTTTTCCCCCCCTCCCCCCAGTTAAAAACTCTCAGTGCTTTTTCAGGCATTTAAATAATTTGTTCTGAGGATTGTTTAAAAGGAAACTAAAAACTACTTAAAGAAAATTCATGCATTTGACTACACAGAATTTACCTTTAATTCAGTGTTACAACTGCGATCACCGCATGCATCATTACACATTACAGACGTGTACTTTGTAAGTTGTCCTCTTCCATTTCTCCCACTGCAGCATCTGTAAATTCAAAGCTAATTGTTGTAAAGATGCTCTTTGGTGCAAAAATCTTTGCACCAGAAAAACATTCTACTCTAATACGTAGTATTCTTCCGTGTACTCTGTGTACTGCTGTTAGTGCTCTAATGCAATACTGGAGTGCATCCAGCAATTCAACCTGGAGGCAGTTAGCACTGTTTTTTCAGGTAAAATTTGTTCCCATTGATATCAACGAAACAGGATTGGCTCAAGAAATCTGAGATTTGAATCTTCTTGTTGGTAGGATGCTTTAGGAAGAGTTCAGGTATGTGTAAAATGTTACAGACATTGCTGAAATTCTTGTAGTTTGGGTCCAATTTAGTTTGCTAAGTATGCCCTCATGCATGAGAGAGGTACTAGGTAGCCTGAGATTTTGTACTCCAGAAAAAGGCAAAGGGTGAAGGTCGGGCTGAGCGTTAACCTGAGCAGGTGGCTGGCCTACCTCCAAGCCCTCTGGGTGAGGAGGGGACCACTCTGCAGTGGCATTCCTGAACCCTTTTGGCTTTAAGTGGGCTATTTCCATTCACTTGTACAAAACTTTCTGTATGATTAGTTACATGCTTCATTCCTGTTGTAATTTTGTGCATGAGGCAGTAGAAGACAAGCGCTTCTAGATTACCTCTTATTGGAGGAGGAAATTATTTAACAGCGTAGCTAGAACAACAAAGGGATTAAACGAGATTAGAGTAGATGTGAAGCGATTTGTTTTACAAAAAAAAAATTCCAGAAAACATTTAATGTCGAGCAAACCTCTAACAGCAGAGGTAGTGCAGGAAATCAGTGTTACAGCTAATAAATAGTCTTAAAGTAAAAGTAAGCTGCCTTGCAATGAAGAAGAATAGAATGAGTAGAATGAAATCTACATTGCCACAGTGATTCTCTCAAAAGACATTAAGTCATCTGAAATGTTACTCCTAGATACACTGTTGTAACTGCAAATTGATGATGATTGTTTAAAGGACAGTAAGAAGGGTACTACTAATTTCCTGTTAGTTTTGCTCAGTGTAACATGCAGCACTATAATTATCCTACTGTGGAAAGGGATAACATTAAACCAATTACTGAGTTTTAAAAAAGAACACAAATCATGGGTTTAACTGCATGCTCCCTGACAATTTGTTGCAGGCCAACGGCAGTGATCTGTCCTTACTTGCGGTTATGATGATTCTATCGGTTTGAATCAGATCCTAGACATTCTCATCTCTATCAGCAAAACCAGCTAGTAGGCATTAATAAGCATAGTGTGTTGTGACTTGAAGATGCAAGAACAACATTTAAATGAGTGAACTAAATGTGTTAATCTGCTCCTGTAAGCACAATGATATGAAGATCTGATAGTACATTTAGGTGCAAGTCTTGTGAAATCCTAAATACTTGTTGGAACAAATATCTTTACAGGCAGTCTGTTTGCTTTAGGTTAGGTCAGTTCTATTTGGATTTTTTAAAAAAAAAACTTCCTTAACAGTCCATATTGGAGAAGGTATAGTCAAAAATACAGTCACTCCAGATGTCTCAAGTGTGAGTTCTAAATAGCCCCAGATGTGCCTCTTAACTCTAAGAAACAAATCTGAGGTGAAGTGTTGATGTATGTACTACAAAAAATATGCTTTTCTTCCCTAACATTTAATCCGTGGGTTTGGGTTGAACTGCAGCTTTGTCACTTTGCTTTTTCTCCAGAACTCTTATTCTGTGTTCCTAAATGATTCTGCTTATTTGTGTTTAAGTCTTCAGGTCTTCATCATGTATTTATTGTTTTTTTTTCTAACTTCACTGTAAATAGTGAGGGGGATCACTGTTTTGTAAATAACATTTACATTTTCATTCTACACTTAATAAAAATTAATTTTGAAACTTTAAAGGGATGAAAGAATTAATGTTCCAGTTATTGTACTAGAATCTAGCATATTTTCCTGTGAACGTTCTCTCTGCTGATTAATAAACACATTTTTTCTTTCAGGGAGGGTAGATGTTCAAGCTGGGATAAAGGTAAATAACTTGAGTAGGCATTGTGAGTTTGTTTAAATGTTTATGCAATTTTCCCACCATGGAAATAATGTTTAATATATAAAAGTCAGGACATCTTAATACTATTGTGTTTCCAGTAAATTAGCCAGTCAGCAGAGGGAGTATGAGTTCACTGGCCAGACTATCCAAATTGTGCTTAAGTTAATTTGATGATCTATGTAAATAAAAATGTTTTAACTTTGATCAGCTCATATATAGAGAGAGATATGTATGTTCACCTGCAACTTAAAATCATTTAACATTCACATGAAATGTGTGCTCCAATTGTGCCCTAAAAACCATGCATGTAAACTAGAAATACAACATTTATACAACACTGGTAAAATCCTTGAATTATAACAGACTGGTAGCAGCACAAGTGTTCATGTACTCAGTCTTCAAGATTTAACTTCTTTTCCATTAATTCCAATTGTTAGTATTCGGTAAAGAGGAAAGAAAATGATGGAGGGGATAGGCCAGGAGAGAGAAGAGGAATAAGGAGTCTTTTTTGGACAACAAAATACATTTGTCTAAAATTTGAGGAGGATTTTTTTGGTGTTTTAACTGCTGTCTGGGAAGTTCTCTGTTCAGAGCTGTAACTGTACTGAGAAGAACTGAAAGAACTGTGCACAAGTTTTTGTGCTATTGTCAGATATCAGTTGATTACTAGCCAGTCATAGTGGTGTTATGTATTTACTGCCACAGCCTAATACTTCAGTAGAAAGCGTAGAGAAGAAGGAATGCTAGGCATGTGTTTCTCTTCTTGAGGTTATAAAGCGGTTTGACATGAGCAAGAAATGTGTTTTTTCCTTCTTTATATCTTCTTTGTTGCTGAGAAAGAAGTATTTTTGTTAAACAAAACTCTTGAAATTTTGCTAAATCTTTGTCTTCTGAATCTGAGAGAACCAGTTCAAACTACTTTTAGACTTCCCAAGTTATCAGTCAGTTAAGAATTGATCTTATTACTGTGTTAGTTATCCACTGCTCAGGGACTTTACGGCCAGTTGGTCTGCATTAGTCTGGAAAAGAATTATGGTTTCTATTCAGGTTAAGCAAAGAAAGTTCTTAGTAGGGCACTTCCCATTTCTTAAAGAAAGGAAAAAAAGTACCTTTTTTTCCTTTTGGTGAACTTTTCTGAATTAGATACAGTGCAGAAGGGGAAAGATGTAGTCAATTAGCAATGCTTAAAAGGGCACTGGAATCATAGGCAGCAGGCGAGTGCGTCATAAAGCATGCCCTGGTAATCCTGCTTATATGTGCTTTGGTGAGGTTTTTCCAACTTGCATAGATTAATTCAATGCTTTTGAAATAGAATACACATCAATGAATGCAGGTAAAAATCTCTAGTGTGACTGGAAGAACAGTGATCATGTAGGATTTCTCCTGATGCTGAAATTTTGGAACCAATCCTATGGGTCCTTGCTCTGGAGAGAGTGGTCTAATTCAGTCTCTGACTTGGCACTTCTCTCAAACCAGCCAAAAAAGATGCTAGCTGTGGAAATAGTTTTTTCTGGGTGTAGACTACCAAATCTGCATTAGAAACCAGTGGCTTACTGTCACCTGGGGGTGTCTGAGCTCTGATCTGACATGCTTTATTCTGTTGTTGTTAAACATGCTTTGCTTTATGTTCTCTGAAATGATCTTTGCTATAGCACAACTCCTGCATTGCTATTTCACGCTTCACAGTTGTGAGGTGTTTTTCTTAACAAAAAGGATTTCAATTTCAGTGCTTTACTGAGTGACTCTTCAATTTCATACCTGCAGAACCGAGGTTGACCAGAAGATGTCAGTTGTATTTTGCAAAAGGAAAGCTATGCTACTATATTTACTTCGATCTCTCTCACTATTAGGTTCGTGTTCATAATGCATGAATTTCAGGTTCTGTTACACAAATGAAAAACAAAAATCCAAAATATGTTTTAAAAATTCCAAGGGGTTTATTAGCAGCTACCTAGCACTTCAGATGTATGCATGGAGTAATCTGAGAAAGAGTTTGATTATCTGAGTCTTTGCCAAAAACTAAGTTTTAGTGGCCCTAAGTACCTAAAGTGGCTAAACTTTGGGGAAAATAGTTTCATTGTCCTGGTACTGCTAAATAGAAGAGCATGAAAGTGAGGTTGAGGCACCCACCTTAATTTCCTGAAGAGCCCCCAATAGCACAAGAAAGAAAAGAGCTTCCTGAGCTGAGGAAAGCTTTGCTCAACCATTATCCATGTGTCTAGCTCCTGCTGCCATGCAGCTTAGCAGCTGCAGATGGTCACAGCTGCCCCATGGCTGCTCTGTGGCTTAGGTTACGTTGTTTTGCTGTGAGCAAACATACAGCCTGGAAATTACATTCATAGGTTCCTCAGAGAGTCTGCTGCTGTGAGGAGATGGATACCCACTGTTCAGTCTAGGTATTCTCATAGAGATATCTTGAGCTTTTTGTTGTAAACTGGGCCAGTTAGGATTCTGAAATATGGTGAGGGTTTGAGAACTAAATCTTGATGTTTTATTTTTTTGCTTTTATTCTGCAATTCCTTCTTCTGGATGTAGTTGTCTGCACCTGATGCTGTTGTGACTATCAGAGCTTGCATCTTTTATGTATTTATTCTGTTGTTCTTCCCTCCTCCTCCTCCCCTTGCCTTCTTCTCTTCCCCTTACTCCATGGTTAGTTTTCTGTTTCTTGTTCTGGGCAAGTACCTTGAGAAAAAGGGGCAATCCTGTGTATGTGTGTTTTTAAAGCAATATGAGAAGGGGCATATGGCTGTCTTCTAAAGACAGCAGGTGAGGGAATTGTAGAACGTAATAGGATGTCCTTTCAGCTAGGTGCACCAAGTGTTTTTCCAAAAAGCTATAGAAAAACCTTCTGTTGTGTTCATCAAGTGGACTTAGGTATGCACATGAGATCACAGCTAGTTACCTTGCAGCCCCTGCTCTTACCCTCATGGCTTACTGTTTATAGGCGTAGGACTGAATCCCCTGGCATAATGAATGGCCAGAATGCCTATCAATAATGCAGTGGTTACTTCCCTTTTGGCTCTAGATTTGGCAGCTTTTTGGCAGCTGTTACCTCTGACGGCAATGCCATTTAGCACAGCAAATATCAAAGCACTGAAGTGTTAAGAGATACAGAGTAATTGCTTTGTCCTCTTCATTATCACAGATAACACACATATATCTTCCTTGTAGACCAACTTTATCTTCTGTTTCATCCCAAATTTCAGCCACAGATATGTCTGAGGCTCTGTTCCTAACCTTTTCATCTTGAAAATAAGGCAGTGGGACAACACTGGGAACTTGACTGAAAGATTAAAATGTGGACAGCAATGAGGTTGAATATGGTTGCTATGTTTGGCTGACAGAGTTCATCCTCCATGGACTTGCTGCACAACTGGACTTGGGTCAGGTTCTTATCTGAACCTATTTGATAATTTGATGATTTGCTATGTTCCCTATTAGAAGTGGAATCTAGTCATTTGGCTAGATTTTCAGAGAAACTAGCTCATGATTAAAATGTCTCAGGGTTAAGGATCATGTTGCACCTTGGTATTTTAAACAAAGCATAAGGTAGTTAACTCTCACTGTTTGCATGTATATTGAATGCTGTTTTGTTAAGCACATAAAAGCTACGCATTGATCCATAATTCTGATGTTACCACGCATTAAGATAAACATATCTGTTTGCAAGTGTTTTTCTCTGCTATTATATCTCCTAAGGTACATACATAGAATCTTTCTCTCATTTGCAGAGCTGTGTTTATGAGTAAGAGATAACTGCCATATTTGTTTAACTATGATAATAATAGAGAGTAAATTCCCTGAAGTCCACAATCTTTTTCAGAAAAATGCGTTTAACATCACTGAAAAGGTTACATTTATTTATTTTTTACTGTGACTTTGCTTAAAATAAGCCCCATATCTTTGAAATCTCTGGCTACAGTATCATAGATCTCGGTAGTCTATAGGACTGTAAGCAGTTTCTTTTGGTGCCGCTATGCAGAACAGAGTGTATGACCCTCTATAAAATCTGCAAAAACTGTTTAGTAATGCTACATTGCTGCCCTTTTCCAATTATGTTACTTTAAAAAAAAAAGGGAGGGGGTTCAATTTCATTTTTACTTTGATTTCTGTGTGGTTTTCCAACTACCTGTTATAAAGGAAAACGTCTTGAATTATCTCATTTTCTTTTCTGGAGTGCTAGTTAATTTTTAAGTGGTTTTTTTTTTTTTTTTAGTCAGGCTTTTAGAGGCTTTCTAGTGTCGTTTTCAGGGAATGCTAGTAATAAATATTTCTGCCTTATTCACCTGCCAACTCATCTTTTATTCATCCTGCTGATGAAAACAATCTCCCTTGAAACTTCTGTTGCTGAAAGAGTATAAAAACTCTCATTATAGAAACAATAGATCCTTTTTTTGATTGCTGTTAATTTTCTATTACTTTGATATATGTTTTTGAAGAAGCTCAGAATTTTGAAGTTCTGACTTTTAATTAAAGCAACAGAGAGAATGCAATCCAATAAATGTAGCAACAGGTAAATCTGTATTTCCCTTATGCTCTTATTGCAAAATGCCGGTGTTGTACTGAAATCAAATGGCTGTCCTTATATTTCTTTAAAACTTCAGTGGTATGGATTTGCACAGCTGTACCTGAAATCCTTACTCCTCAAACAGTGGTGCTCTTATATTAAGGAAGTTGTACCGTACATGCAGGAGAATGGTTACTTGTATGTTTTTTGTGTCTTGGGGACTGGGGCTGAGAATAAATTTATTGATGATATGCATTGTTGCTGAGAAGGAAACACCAATGTAACTGCCTCTCTTCTTCCCAGGTGGGATAAGAACAT